GGGTTTAGGGTTTAGGGTTGTAATTCTTTAGGGTTTAGGGTTTAGGGTTGTAATTCTTAAGGTCGTCGAAGGGGCTTACAAACACAAAACCTGGGGTGAACCCGGAGCCTTTGAAGACAACCGCGTAAGGTTGAACACCCCACGTGGTTGGGAAGCTGCTGGAAGCTGTCCGCCACGGGAGCTGCCTGGATCGCATGTAATGCAAGGCGTTAGGGCCTGGGATCACGGGGGTTTGGAGTTTGGAGGTTTAGGGTTTAGGGTTTCGGGTTTAGGGTTTAGGGTTTAGGGTTTAGGGAGTGGAGTAAGACATGATGTTCTAAAGAAGGAGGAAGACCAGCGTGAGAGGAATCCAAGAACAGCCAAAGAGTCGATAATGCCGTGACAGAACCCACAGCCCTCGAAGACCTTCAGTCGAGACCTGGTAAACATGGAGGATTGCTAAATACCTGAGGTGTCATCTCGGCTTTTCCTTCGCCACGGCGCAGAGCATCAATTGCCTGGTGGTGCAGCAGGGCGACGACGGGTCGGGCACCTCAGTGGGTCTTCTCGTTTCTTGTTCCCCAATACCGAGCCTTGTAAACTGTTTGGGTTCTTATAATTTAGTAGTAATCTGAAAGTTGAACTTTTTTTTTCCCTGGCTTATCGGGGAAGTAAGGTTTACAAACATACATACATACATACATACATACATACATACATACGTACATACATATACATACATACATCCAGGCAGGCAGGCAGGCAGATAGACAGAATTGCATGCATACGTACGTAGATACTTTTACATACACGCCTAGGTTGTGAGGTCTGTGGAGTTGCAGGTTGAAGTCATCCAAGTTTGGGGTCGAGGGTCTAGGGGCCTGATGAATGCACAGTTTTGTGGTGTCGGGTTCAAAACTCTAAACCCTAAACCCTAAACCCTTAAGGCAATTACGGATTCTGGGACCTAATCTCAAGAGCCAGCTCTTGGTATTTGGGGCTTAAGGTTCAGGGTCTAGGACTTAACGTGAGCTGAGCCAGGGAAGTTGATTGATGCGGATCGATTCAAGGAATCCAGGCCGAGGGTCTAAGCGCCTAACCCCTAAACCCGAAACGCTCTTCCAAGCCCCCAAACCCTACACCCTAAACCCTAAACCCTAAACCCTAAACCCTAAAACCTGAAACCTGCCTTTTTGGTTTGAGGCCGGTGGGAAAGGTTACGAAGACCTCGCTAATTATTTCACTATAATGTATGCCCAAGATCCCTGTTCTAGCATTATCAATGTCGGCCCCTGTCTAAGGCAAAAGGGGAAACCGCAAAAGACTTGTTGTACACAGTCCTTTCAATTTGGGCGTAGGCTTTCTGGTTGATGGCATTGCGTTCCATACTAGGTTGCGGAGGGGAAGCTGCCCTAAACCCTAAACCCTAAACCAAACCCTAAACCCTAAAAGCTGTTCAACCGGCGCCGTAGTTTGGGGCGCTAGCGAGACGCAGGCTCTGGGCCTTCGCGTCCTGCAGCCTGCACCCTACCCATAGGCCCCATAGTAGTTCCTTTTGGGGGTTACCTTAAACCCTAAACCCTAAACCCTAAACGATAAACCTGGGATTACCTTATAGGATTCTAAACATGAACCCCCAAAAGGAACTACTATGGGGCCTAGGGGTAGACCCCGAGCCGACTGTGACTGTATGAGCTGTTCCACGACTCCGATCCCGAATTATTAGGGGTTTAGGGTTTAGGGGTTAAGGGTTTAGGGGGTTACGGGTTTAGGGTTTATAGGGTTTAGGGGTTTAGGGGTACAGGGGTTTAGGGTTTAGAGGTTAAGGGGTTTAGGGTGTAGGGGTTTAAGCCCAAAGCCCAGAACCTGGCCCGCAAAACTCTGGGTGAGCACCCCGAGGGCCGGCAAGAACGCTTTCTTTTAGGGTTTAGGGTTTAGGGTTTAGGGTAGGAACAGCTGATATCCTTATACCCTTCCAGTCCGTCTTAGAGGTAAAATACAGTTTAAAAAACACATACCCCCCAAACCCTGTTCCAAATTATGAAGGCCGCTATATGGGTAGTTCTCTAACTTAGGGTCCCTTTTGGCA